AAGGGCAGGATGAGGCTGAAAAAAAAAACCTCTCATGACATGGATTTTTGCCATAATCAGCACCCAGTGTGTTATGGGTAAGGCTACATTTTAGTCACGGGTATTTTTAGTAAAAGTCATGGACAGGTCATGGGCAGTAAACAAAAATTCACAGCCCGTGACCTGTCCATGACTTGTACTATATACCCCTAACTAAATCATGGGCTGGGGGGCCACGGGTGCTCGGGGGGGGGCAGTCCGGGGGCACCGCAGGTGCTGGAGGGTGCGGGCAGCGGCACACAGCCCAGGACTCCTGCTGGTGCGTGTGTGTCTGTCTCTGTGGGGCTGACAGGCTCCCTATCCAGCTCTGCGCAGCTCCCCGGAAGTGGACGGCATGTCCCTGCAGCTCCTAGGGGGAGGGAAGGCCAGGGGGACGCCGCACACTGCCCCCACCACAAACTCCATCTCCGCAGCTCCTGTTGGCTGGAAACCGCAGCCAATGGGAGCTGCGGGGGGGGGGGGGGGGGCCCCCACCAGGGGGCGCGGGCAGAGCCCCCCGGCCCCCCCCCCCCCGGGGCGGCGGGGCCACCCCATCTCCTCCCAGGCCCCCCCCCCCCCCCCCCGAGGTAAGCGCCACCCTGCACCCCAACCCCCTGCCCTGGGCCTGAGCCCCCTCCCACACCTAAACTGCTGCTGCTGGCTCAAGGGCTGCCCAAACACTCGGGCAGCTCGTGAGCCAGCCGCACCGGCCGCTGCAAAAGTCACGAAGGTCACAGAATCCGTGACAGACACGCAGCCTTAGTTATGGGCCCTACTGTACAGGCAAGAGGGAGTCAGAGGTGGCATCCAGCCTCCCCGATGACAGATTCCCTGGCATGGCTGAGCCGGCATCAACAACTGCTTTAGTGCACCCGCAGACCAAGAGCACCTGCCCGTTCAAGTCAGACAGATCCCCCTTTGCTGGTGAGTTGCCAGAGGCAATGGCTGGAGGAGCCTGAGTCACCCAGAACGTAGCTCCACCATGTTCCCCGCAGCCCAATTTGCAGGCGCTGGCCTGAGCCCAAGTGCACTGTCCACCCCGTGCCGAAGTACAAGGACACGCAGGTTCTGAAGTATAAAAAGAGATTTTATTCAGGTCTATGTACAAATTTACAAAGCCAAAAACTGGAGAAATACAAACGGCTGGAAACCCGAGCTGCCTTCCCTTCCGTGGGAAGAAAGTGACTTTTACCTGATTCTGAGCCAAACGGGAGAGGGCGGGGGGGCTTAACAGGGACAAAAGCTACTTTTGCTGAAATCGGGGGACTGATGGGGAGTGGAAGGAGGTGGGGCCTAGAACGGGGTAGAACTAGAGAGCAAACAGCTCCTGACACATGGCCTCCCACCACCTCCCAGCTGGCTCGTAAACGTGTCCAAGGGCCCACCAAAGGTTTTATGGCCCAGGCAAGGTGGACTTGTCTAGTCACTGCACTAGGGCCTGCACAGACAGCCCTGGAATCGAGTGAAGAGATTGTCTGGGCCACTGGCTGGTCTGACGGAGGAAGTGCGCACACGGGTTCCTACTCGGCACGGGACAGAGCTGCAGCACCTTCGGGCCAGAGATGCTGGGAATGGCAACGCCAGGAGGCGTCCGAGAGAGTGAGGTCTAAAAGCCAAGGAAGAGCCGCCGCCTTCTTAAACCGCAAGGGGAAGGGCGAGGGTTCTGAGCTCGACTCGGCTCTACCAGCCAAGCCAAGCGTGGTGTGGGGGGGGCAGTCGCTGCCAGAGCCCAACCCCAAAACGGACTATTCATGCCCAGCGCCCCCATGGTGCCAGGAGGAGCCGAACGGCGAGCACAAGGCCAGTCAAGGCCGCCCATTACCTAACAGGCTTTTCACATCCCGGCTCCCACCCTGGAGAGGTCCCAGTCTAGGGGATCGCTGCATCAGCCCATTCAACTGAAACGGGATGCCCCAAATGGTTACAATTTATTGACAACAGTCGTATTGGTAAGAGGCTTTAAACTGTACACATGGTAAAAAAAAAAAAAAAAACAGTGCCGATGCCTCATGTGCTCGAAGTGGTTTTCCTCCGCTTGAGCCGCGCTCGCCAGTCCTCCGGCAGGGCCTCGAAATTGGCGTTCCTCTCCGCCATACCACTGCGGGGACAAAGAGCACCTCAGGCCCGGCAAAGGAGTCCGGGCAGCGCTTGTGCAGCCCACCCTCAGGGGCCTGATCTGCCCTTGGCAGGGGGTGGGGTGGGCTCCGCACAGAGGGGACGTGCACACGATGCGAAGTTCACAGAGCTGCCTCTGACGCAGAATGGCCAAATCAACCCTCCGGAGAGCATCAGGGGCGTGTCGGCAGGAAACTGGCCATATGCCTAAGACCTCCTGGGGCCGCTAGAAGGTGCTGTGCCAGGGAGCAGTTCTGGGGGCTGGGAAGGATTCAGTCAAGCGCTGTCCCCTTGCTGCTGGGAATCCCCACCCCTCACACTCAGTGCATGACAGGTCAGACTTCCCCAGCTGCAGATCTGATGGGAGGATCCAGCTACCCCTCCCTCCCCCCCCACACACATACACCTGCTCCCCTCGGGATGGGCAGAGGGAAGAAGTTTCTTATACACATCTTCAGAGTGGGGCGTTCGGGCTCAGGCGGCCACTGGAAGGACCCCAAGGGAGGAGCTGGAGTGGCCACGAAACTTGACCCATGGGAGTTTTGTAAATACAGTGGCGGGAGGGACCTAGCCCATGCCACCTAGCTCACTGCAGGGTGGTGGCAGGCAGTAAGGTCTTCTCCCTCCCCATGCCCTCTCGCCCTGCCTTCGCGCTTCCCAGGCCCCACTACTTTACACTGCGAGCCCAAAGGTGCTGGCCAAGGACCCTGCCCAGCTTGGGGCTACGGGACAGCTGGCCCTACACGCTGGAAGAGGAGCTGAGGGCTGTGGTTAAGCAGGTGACGTCATGAGTCAGCTGCCGCGCTGTGACTGGCGGAGAACTCCAGCTCAGCACAATGTGGGGTAAGTGGCCCAGGAAGACAGTGCTGTCCCCGAGAGGAGGCGCCGAGGGCAGTGGGCTCTCCGCTGGCATGGCCTAGGAAAGGGGGATCTGCTAGAGGAGCTGGATTTCCAATGAACGGGGCAGCCACCCGGGCCGAGACCACTGCTCGCGTGGGCAGGCTGGAGAGGGCTGATCCGAGGGGGAGTGCTCGAGGGTGCCCTGGAGAAAGGTGAAGGGTGCCAGGAAGTGCCTCACTAAGGCACGAGCAATAACCGTTCACAGCTGTCGGGATAGTCACAGGAAAAGAACCGCCCCCCCAATAACGGCAATGGATACAGCCAGCAGCAGAGAGGCCGGGCCAGTGAGAGGGTCTCCTGGGGACTGTGGCACAGAGAAAGGGGGCGAGGACCCCAGAGGCAGCACAGCACAGCCATGCTGCCCTGTCCAGGGGAAGCTGGCTCTGAGGGGAGGAACGCTCCCTCCTGGGACCCC